GTGGGGCTGGGCTGGGGCCTATGGGGGAGGAAAAGCACCATGGGGCTGGGCTGGGGCCTATGGGGGAGGAAAGGCACCATGGGGCTGGGCTGGGGCCTATGGGGGAGGAAAGGTGCTGTGGGGCTGGGCTGGGGCCTATGGGGGAGGAAGGGCACCATGGGGCTAATTTGGGGCTCAGTGGGATGGAGAGGCACCATGGGAACGGGCTGGGGCCTATGGGTGGAAGGGGAGGGTGGCCATAGGCCATAGGGGACGCACTGAGTTTCAGCCAGGGCTGGGGATCTGCGTGGGCCAGGATTCAAGGTGGGCAGCACTGCAGCTCATGGGCGCCTTTTAGGGAGGGGGGGGGGAATCTCTCACCGCATCTCTGGGTCACCACCAGGTGTCTGCGTGGCCGGGTACGAGTGCTCTGGAAGGAATGAGATCCTGCAGCTGCTGCCACCACCAACACTGCAAGCAAAGGAGAATCAGGTGGGTGCTGCAGCCAGGCAGATGCAGAAGAGGCTGGCTGAGATGCTGTCCCACTGGGGAACCGCAGTGCTGAGCGTCACCCCTGCAGTGGGTGATGTCTGAGCTGGTGTAAGAAGTGGTGTTTTGCCAGGTTGGTACAGGCAGCGACAAACCTCGACAGAGCTTTTGGCAGGAGTCCGATCCATAGGTTTTCCCCTGGAGTGGAGCAGGATCTTTCAATCCTATGGTTGACATCAGCATGAGAGGGCAGGCAGAGGCTTCTTGTGCCATTCGGTGGGAAGAAATGACTTTGCCTTTGATTTCCAGGGTCTGTGTCCCCAGAGAGATTTCAAGGTGGAATGCGGAGGGTTCTCAAACCGCCCTGTGTACAACCTGAAACACGTGCCGGACACCAGGTATGGCCAACAGAGTCCTCCTGGGGGCACTTGGGGGTGGTGGAGGAGCTCGTCCTCTTGCTTTTCGCCTGCTTCCCAACGCAGCTGGTGGGAGCTGAGAGCTCTGGGAGTCTTGAGCAGGGATCGCTGGCCTTCCCTGAGCCACATCTTGATGTTTGGAGCTCAAAAGGCAAATGGGATCCTGGGCTCCATCAGGAGAGGGGTGGTCAGCAGGGACAGGGAGGTGATCGTCCCTCTCTACTCGGCTCTTGTGAGGCCCCATCTGGAGTCCTGTGTCCAGGTGTGGAGCCCTCAGTACAAGAAAGACATTGAGATCTTGGAAAGGGTCCAGAGGAGGGCGACTGAGATGAGCAGGGGGCTGCAGCACCTCCCCTATGAGGACAGGCTGAGGGAGTTGGGCTTGTTCAGCCTGGAGAAGAGAAGCTGCGGGGTGACCTCAGTGCAGCCTATCAATACCTGAAGGGAACCCACAGCCAGGAGGGGAGTAAACTCTTCAGAAGGGCTGACAACAGCAGGACGAGGGGAAATGGATCCAAGTTGAGGGAGGGAAGATTGAGGTTGAATGTTAGGGGGAAGTTCTTCACAAGGAGAGTGGTCAGGCCCTGGAACGGGCTGCCCAGGGAGGTTGTGGATGCCCCGTCCTTGGCCGTGTTCAAGGCCAGGTTGGACGGGGTCCTGGGCAACCTGATCTGAATGTGGATGTTTGGTGGCCCTGCTGGGCAGGGGGTTGGAACTGCGTGATCCTTGAGGTCCCTTCCAACCCGGGTGATTCTGTGATTCTGTGAGTGCAGCAGTGGGTTGGGGTGCACTGGGTTGGGGTGCTGCTGCTGAGCTTAGAGCTGTCGTGGTGCATCGTGCGTCATCCCCGAGGCTGCAGGCGGTGATCTTTGCCTATTAACCAGCTCTCCTGGCTCACTTTTCCTTCCAGGACCTGTTCCCATTCGGTTCTTCCAAGAAGGTCCTGGAAGAGGTTCAGTTTAACGAGTTCAGGGTTGTGACCTCACTGCCCTGCTTTCCCCCCTGGCAGGATACAGAGCTTGGCAGTCCCATGCTTGCTGCCTGCAGGGCTGCTCCCAGCCTCCACCTCTCCAAGCAGTCCCTCCTTGTTTGTCGGTACAAGGTTCAGCCACGCACCTTTCCCCTCTGGCTCCTCCACCACCTGAGTCAGGAGGTTTCCATCGGTGCTTGCCAGGAGCTTCCTGGCTCCTTTGTGCCTCGCTGTGCTGTTCCTCCAGCAGATGTCAGGGTGGCTGTTGTCCCCCCGTGACCACAAGCCTGCTTCCCCCTGTCAGTAAAGGACCTTATCAACTTCCTGATCAGGCAGCCCGTAGCAAACACCCCCCTCCTTCATCTGTCCTTTAATTCTTTCACACCAGCTCCCAGCCCACGTATTGTCCATCCCTGAGGCTGAGCTGTTTGTTCCAGGGGTCTTCACGCATAAAGGGCAGCTCCACCACCCCCCCTTCCTCTCTGATTTCCTTCAGGATCACGTGGCGGTTTTTCAACCCCGTCAGTGGTTCCACCCCGTCTCTGCAGTGGCAGTGAGAGCTGAGCCCCACGGCTGCACCCACAGCTCTGCTGCTTCCCGTTTTCTTCCTGTTTAGTGAGATGAAAGCCATTTCTCGGTTGTCAGCCCTCAAATGGGGTCCTGTGGGTACAGAAGCCATGGAAGCGGCCCATTCCTCACTTGTAAAATCTGCCTTCTCCTCTCCTCTTCTACGTCAGGCTTGTAGGGTTGAGGAGGAAGCGACCTGGACCTGCAGACCCTTTAACCACCATCCCACAGCTCCGAAATCTGATTAGCTAGAGCCCAAATTACCTTTGCTATCATGGATGCTCACGTGGGAGAGGAGCAGGGATGTGTGGACAGGGGTTCTGCAGGACGCAGGCTCCTTCAGCTCAGGTGCTTCACAAAGCCCATGAAGCCATGCCCAGCTCCTCCTCCTCTTGAAGGGCACCAGATCTGTTTGTCACATCTTCAGGAGGACCAGTGGCCTTTCAGACTGTGGGCTCGAGGCTCCTGAAGCTGCAGGGTCCGTAGGATCGGCCTCTCCATCTCTTGCTCATCTTCCCAAAAGCCACATGGCTTCCATCCTCGCTGCCGCCACCCCAGCAGTGCTGCAGAAGAGTCACCCCACGTTGGCTCACCGAAAAGCCCTTCTCACCACCCTTTCTGCTGGCTGTGCAGCCCCTGGCACTTTGTTCCATCCTTTCCTTCTGCGTTTGGAGCTTTCTGGAGCTGCCCAGAAGCGGGATTTCTGTGGCTGCTGCAGGTTCAGCAGGCTCTCTCTGCTGATGATTGCAGGCAGAGCGAACACAATTCCTTCTGGCTGATTCAGCTCTCGCCTCCTACACGAGGCCTCTCGGGGGCTCTGCGCACCATCCCTAGTCTGGCACTTGTGGAAGACGTGCTCATGAAATGCCTGGGTTGCGTGGATCACTTCCCTCGTGGCTGCAAACCTCCCTCACCCTGTGCAGGAGCTGCTGGATGGGAGTGGGGCAGCACACAGCCGTGCTCCATAGGATCATAGAATCACAAGGTTGGAAACGACCTGTAAGATCATCCGGTCCAACCTCCTCCTCCTCACCATCGCCACCACCAGCACCAAATCATCTCGCAGCTCCTCATCCAGGCGCCTCCTGAACGCTGCCAGGGACGGCGACTCCCCCACCTCCCTGTGCAGCCATTGCAGCGCCTGAGCACTGAGAGAAACAGTTCTGCCTCATGTCCAACCTGAACCTCCTCTGCTACAACTTGCGGCCATTGCCCTGTGTCCTGTTTGTTGCCTGGGAGAAGAGGCCAAAAGAAGAGGCTGACTCTGCCTCGCATCCCTCCATCCATCCATCCATCCATCCATCCATCCATCCATCCATCCCTCCATCTCTCCATCCATCCCTCCATCTCTCCATCCATCCATCCATCCCTCCATCCATCCATCCATCCCTCCATCCATCCCTCCATTCATCCATCCCTCCCTCCATCCATCCATCCATCCCTCCCTCCATCCCTCCCTCCCTCCATCCCTCCATCCCTCCATCCATCAGAGGCCCTTTGACACCACAGCCTCCCTCCACGCAGTTGCAGAGTGCAGTCAGGTCTCCCCTGAGCTCCTCTTCTCACCCTCACCACTCCCAGCTCCCTCAGCCACTCCTCAGCAGCCCTGTGCTCCACACCCCTCCCCATTTCGCTGCCCTTCTCTGCACGCTGCAGGGCCTCAACATCTTTCCTGCAGTGAGGAGCCCAGAACTGAACCCAGCACTCGAGGTGCGGCCTCAGCAGAGCTGAGTGCAGGGGATGCTCCCCTCCCTGCTCTGCTGGCCATTCCTCATGCAGCCCAGGCTGCCGCTGGCCCTCTTGCCCACCTGTGCACACTGCTGGCTCCTGTTCAGCCCAGCACCAACCAACACCCCCAGCTCCCTTTCCTCTCCACACTCACAGCCTCTCATCCCCCAGCCTGCAGCGCTGCATGGGGTCGCTGTGCCCCAACGCGGCCCCCGGCACTCGGCCTTGTTGAACCTCATCCCGTTCACCTCAGCCCAGCGGTTCAGCCTGTCTGAATCCCTCTGCAGGGCCTCCCTGCCCTCACGCAGATCCACCCCACCTCCCAGCTCGGTGTCACTGCACACTCACTCAGGTTGCCCTCAATGTCCTCATCAGGTCATCAATAAAGATATGAAACAGGATGGGCTCCAGCACGGAGCCCTGGGGGGACACCGCTGGAAACCTCAGCTCAGGGCCTGGCGCTGCTCCCTGCTCCTGCTGAGCTCTATGGCTTCTGTTTGTTTCCTCAGCTTGCTGGTGACGAGCGGCCCGCCCGACAGCTCCCTGCAGGTTTGGCAGATGGCAGCAGAAGATTCTGGTAAGGGAACGAGGTTTTGTCCCGCCAGCAGCAATCCCGATGGGAAGGAATCGTTCCCAACATCCGACCTGCAGCTTTGCGTGGGGTTTGATAGATTCACAGCATCCCAGAACTGCAGGGGTTGCAGGGAGCTGCAGAGCTCATGCAGTCCAACCCCCTGCCCAGCCGTTCCTACAGCAGTCGCACAGCTCGGCATCCAGGCAGGCCTGGAACATCTGCAGAGCAGGAGACTCCAGCACCTCCATGGGCAGCCTGCTGCAGTGAGCAGTGGGACCATAGGGACACGTTGGGACCCATAGAGACGCATTGGGACCCATAGGGACACGTTGGGACCCATAGGGACACGTTGGGACCCATAGAGACACGTTGGGACCCATGGAGACACGTTGGGACCCATAGAGACACGTTGGGACCCATAGGGACACGTTGGGACCCATAGAGACACGTTGGGACCCATAGGGACATGTTGGGACCCATAGGGACATGTTGGGACCCATAGAGACACGTTGGGACCCATGGAGACACGTTGGGACCCATAGAGACACGTTGGGACCCATAGGGACACGTTGGGACCCATAGAGACACGTTGGGACCCATAGAGACACATTGAGACCCATAGAGACACATTGGGACCCATAGAGACCCGTTGGGACCCATAGAGACCCGTTGGGACCCATAGAGACACATTGAGACCCATAGAGACACGTTGGGACCCATAGGGACAAAGGTTTGCTGCCATCCTTGCTGGGTGCCTTGGCAGAGTGGTTTTGTGCTGGAGACAAAGCTGTGGTTGGGTTTCCTATGCAGTTCAGTGGGTCGCTGTTGGCTTTGCGCGGTGCCTTTGCCCAACGCCGTGATTCTGCTGGCTGCTCTCTACCTCTTTTACAGCTGCTTCTCTCTCTTCCCAGCAGATGTGATTCAATCTGTAGGTGCCATCTCGACCGAAAACGGCACTGATGAGAGCTGGGCGAAAATCGCCACCATTTCAGCCAGAGCCCCGTGGGTCCTTCACGGCTCGAGGCTCAGCAGCACGCGGCTCACAGAGGTGGAGTCGCAGAAGGAGGTGTACAGAGCAGGTGTGCAGCGTGCCGCAGGCTGCAGGGCTGGGGCTGCGTGAAGGAGGGCACACGAGTGGCAGGGCTTCGTTGTGCTGCCCTCGATGGTCATGGAGTGACAGAACGGCCTGGGCTGCAGAGGAGCTCAATGCTCATCCAGCTCCAAGCCCTGCTGTGTGCAGGTCGCCAAGCAGCAGCCCAGGCTGCCCAGAGCCACATCCAGCCTGGCCTTGAATGCCTGCAGGGATGGGGCATCCACAGCCTCCTTGGGCAACCTGTGCCAGTGCCTCACCACCCTCTGCCTCCAAAACTTCCTCCTCACATCCAACCCAAACCTCCCCTGTCTCACTTTCAAGCCATTCCCCTTGTCCTGTCACCACCCACCCTCACACACAGCCGTTCCCCCTCCTGTTCATCCGCTCCCTTCAAGCACTGAAGGCCACCATCAGGTCTCCCTGCAGCCTTCTCTTCTCCAAGCCAAACCAGCCCAGTTCCCTCAGCCTTTCCTCACACAGAGCTGCTCCAGCCCTCTGCTCATCGCAGTGCCTGAGATTGAGGGTTCTGCCTCAGATCTGCCTCAGATGGGGGTTGGACTCCATGAGCTCTGCATCTTCCAACCCCTGCAATTATTCTGTGAAATTGAAATGGAGGGGAGACGATCAGCTTTTGTTCCAGTGCTGAAGAGAGGTCAGGGAGGCGAGCAAGGCTGGATGGAGCTGGCACTTCTGCGTTTGTCTATGGGGGAAAGCTGCACTGGGGGTAAATGTAATTAGCTTTGGAGTCACCATAGGATCTGCATTACGGACCTTCCTGGTGTAAGGTGCCATTTATCATTTTTGCTCGGTGAGATCAACGAGAAACATCATTCTTGTAGAGGTGTGTACCAGGAAGTGTTAGAAATCAGAGCTGCATCCGTGTCTGTGCCCTGCAGGAGCTCTGCTGATGGTTTTGGTGCCAAGAGTCCCAGGGAGGTTGTGGATGCCCCGTCCTTGGCCGTGTTCAAGGCCAGGTTGGACGGGGTCCTGGGCAACCTGATCTGAATGTGGATGTTTGGTGGCTCTGCTGGGCAGGGGGTTGGAACTCCGTGATCCTTGAGGTCCCTTCCAACCCGGGTGATTCTGTGATTCTGTGAAGAGTCGCACTGCAGTTCATGTTGTCCCAGATCAGAGGATGTTTGGTTCCTTGCTCAGGCGCTGCAATGGCTGCACAGGGAGGTGGGGGAGTCGCCGTCCCTGGCAGCGTTCAGGAGGCGCCTGGATGAGGAGCTGTGAGATGATTTGGTGCTGGTGGTGGCGATGGTGAGGAGGAGACGGTTGGACCGGATGATCTTACAGGTCGTTTCCAACCTTGTGATTCCATGATTCCATGATTCTATGATTCTTTTGAGGTTCGTGCAGCCGAAAGGCTTGGAAATGTGCTGGGAGCCGTGCGAAGAGGGACCTCGACAGGCTGGAGGGCTGGGCTCGGGTGAACCTGATGAGGTTCAACACGGCAAAGTGCAAGGTTTTGCATTTGGGCCGGAAGAACCCCAGGCACCCGTAGAGGCTGGGAGGAGTGGGCCTTGAGAGCAGCTCGGCAGAGAAGGACCTGGGGGTCCTGATGGACGAGAGACTGAACATGAGGCAGCAGTGCGCTCTGGCAGCTCGAAAGGCCAATGGGATCCTGGGCTCCATCAGGAGAGGGGTGGTCAGCAGGGACAGGGAGGTGATCGTCCCTCTCTACTCGGCTCTTGTGAGGCCCCATCTGGAGTCCTGTGTCCAGGTGTGGAGCCCTCAGTACAAGAAAGACAGAGAGATCTTGGAAAGGGTCCAGAGGAGGGCGACTGAGATGAGCAGGGGGCTGGAGCACCTCCCCTATGAGGACAGGCTGAGGGAGTTGGGCTCGTTCAGCCTGGAGAAGAGAAGCTGCGGGGTGACCTCAGTGCAGCCTATCAATACCTGAAGGGAACCTACAGCCAGGAGGGGAGTAAACTCTTCAGAAGGGCTGACAACAGCAGGACGAGGGGAAATGGATCCAAGTTGAGGGAGGGAAGATTGAGGTTGGATGTTAGGGGGAAGTTGATGTCACTGGGTGCTCCATGGGGTCAGTGGGTGCTCTATGGGGTCAGGGGGTGGCCTGTGGGGTCACTGGGTGGCCTATGGGGTCAGTGGGTGCTCTATGGGGTCAGGGGGTGGCCTGTGGGGTCACTGGGTGGCCTATGGGGTCAGTGGGTGCTCTATGGGGTCAGGGGATGGCCTGTGGGGTCAGGGGGTGCTCTATGGGGTCAGTGGGTGGCCTGTGGGGTCAGGGGGTGCTCTATGGGGTCACTGGGTGGCCTGTGGGTGTCCTATGGAGTCCAAGTTGAGGGAGGGAAGATTGAGGTTGGATGTTAGGGGGAAGTTCTTCACAAGGAGAGCGGTTGGGCCCTGGAACGGGCTGCCCAGGGAGGTTGTGGATGCCCCGTCCTTGGCCGTGTTCAAGGCCAGGTTGGACGGGGTCCTGGGCAACCTGATCTGAATGTGGATGTTTGGTGGCCCTGCTGGGCAGGGGGTTGGAACTGCATGATCCTTGAGGTCCCTTCCAACCCGGGTGATTCTGTGATTCTGTGAAGCCCCCTGAGATCTGCTCATCTCTTCCAGCCTCCAGCAGCAGCGAGGAGCTCGGCAGCCTGGCCTTCCTGGACGCCAACACGGCGGTGCTGTGCAGCGCGGCGGGGCGGCTGTGCGTGGCCGATATTCGGCAGCGCGGCCCCTTGCAGGCTCTGCTCATCCCCTCGGCGCAGCTTGGGTGCTGCTGGCGCGCGGCGGCCGCTTGCTGTGAGCCCAGCTCCCGACCCATCGCCTGCCTCTCGAGCGCGGGGCAGCTGGTCCTGATGGACGTAAGGAAAACCTCGCCGTGTTTGGCTTCAGCTCGATGCAAAGTTCCAGCATCCGGCGCCAGCGCCGAGTTCCTGTGCGTCAGCTGGGCTCCCGCTCTGGAAGGTTGCCTTGCTGTTTCAGGTTGGTGATCCGGGAGGACCGATTGCTTTTTCTGGGTGTTGTTTTGGGTGACGTTTTGCAATGGTTTGCTCCGTTTTCGACGCCCCGCTTGGAGGCTGTGCGGAGCTGCGCCGGGGAGCTGAGCTGATCGCCCTCCCGGCCGCCTCCCATCCTGAGTCGCAGCAGCGTTGAAGCCCGGCTCCCATCTGGGGCTCTCGCAGCTTCTTTCCCCCCAGCAGAGACCACAGGCCTCAGCAAACGAGGGGAGCTGGGCCATCGCAGCACCACCAGTTAATGGGCAAGCTCTGTGCAGCTGGTGGGGGTCAGCTTCACAGTGCCTCGGGCACACGCTCTTGTCCTGGGCTGAGAACCTGACCCCAACCCTGACCCCAAAGCTCTAATGCCAACCACAACCCTGTGACCCCAACCCTGACCCCAACCCTAACTGTAAACCTGACCCCAACCCTGACCCCAAAGCCCTAACCATAACCCCACGACCCTGACCCCAACCCTAACTGTAAACCTGACCCCAAAACTCTAACCCTAACCATAACCCTGTGACGCCAACCCTAACTGTGAACCTGACCCCAGCCCTGACCCCAAAACTCTAACCCCAACCACAACCCTGTGACCCCAACCCTGACCCCAACCCTAACCATAACCCCATGACCCCAACCCTAACCCTAACTGTAAACCTGACCCCAAAACTCTAACCCCAATCACAACCCTGTGAGCCCAACCCCATGACCCCAACCCTAACTGTAAACCTGACCCCAACCCTGACCCCAACCCTAACTGTGAACCTGATCCCAACCCTGTGACCCCAAAGCTCTAACCCCAACCACAACCCTGTGACCCCAACCCTGACCCCAACCCTAACCATAACCCCATGACCCCAACCCTAACCCTAACTGTAAACCTGACCCCAAAACTCTAACCCCAATCACAACCCTGTGAGCCCAACCCCATGACCCCAACCCTAACTGTAAACCTGACCCCAACCCTGACCCCAAAACTCTAACCCCAACCCTATTGTGATAGGGTTGGGTTGTGATAGACCCCAACCCTATTATCCCTGTGACCCCAACCCTGACCCCAACCCTAACTGTGAACCTGACCCCAACCCTGTGACCCCAAAGCTCTAACCCCAACCTTAACCCTGTGACCCCAACCCTAACTGTAAACCTGATCCCAACCCTGACCCCAAAGCTCTAACCATAACCCCATGACCCTGACCCCAACTGTAACTGTAAACCTGACCCCAAAACTCTAACCCCAACCACAACCCTGTGACCCCAACCCCATGACCCCAAAGCCCTAACCGTAACCCCATGACCCTAACCCCAACCCTAACTGTAAACCTGATCCCAGCCCTGTGACCCCAAAGCTCTAACCCCAACCACAACCCCATGACCCCAACCCTGACCCCAACCCTAACCATAACCCCATGACCCCAACCCTAACCCTAACTGTAAACCTGACCCCAAAACTCTAACCCCAATCACAACCCTGTGAGCCCAACCCCATGACCCCAACCCTAACTGTAAACCTGCCCCCAACCCTGACCCAAAGCCCTAACCATAACCCCACGACCCTGACCCCAACCCTAACTGTAAACCTGACCCCAAAACTCTAACCATAACCATAACCCTGTGACGCCAACCCTAACTGTAAACCTGACCCCAACCCTGTGACCCCAAAGCTCTAACCCCAACCACAACCCTGTGACCCCAACCCTGACCCCAAAGCCCTAACCATAACCCCATGACCCCAACCCTAACCCTAACTGTGAACCTGACCCCAACCCTGTGACCCCAAAGCTCTAACCCCAACCACAACCCTGTGACCCCAACTCCATGACCCCAAAGCCCTAACCATAACCCCACGACCCTGACCCCAACCCTAACTGTAAACCTGACCCCAAAACTCTAACCCTAACCATAACCCTGTGACCCCAACCCTGACCCCAAAGCCCTAACCATAACCCCATGAGCCTGACCCCAACCCTAACTGTAAACCTGACCCCAAAACTCTAACCCCAACCACAACCCTGTGACCCCAACCCCATGACCCCAAAGCCCTAACCATAACCCCATGACCCCAACCCCAACCCTAACTGTAAACCTGATCCCAACCCTGTGACCCCAAAGCTCTAACCCCAACCACAACCCTGTGACCTCAACCCTGGCCCCAACCCTAACCATAACCCCATGACTCCAACCCTGACCCCAACCCTAACCATAACCCCATGACCCCAACCCTAACCCTAACTGTAAACCTGACCCCAAAACTCTAACCCCAATCACAACCCTGTGAGCCCAACCCCATGACCCCAACCCTAACTGTAAACCTGACCCCAACCCTGACCCCAAAACTCTAACCCCAACCCTATTGTGATAGGGTTGGGTTGTGATAGACCCCAACCCTATTATCCCTGTGACCCCAACTCTGACCCCAACCCTAACTGTGAACCTGACCCCAACCCTGACCCCAAAGCTCTAACCATAACCCCATGACCCCAACCCTAACTGTAAACCTGACCCCAACCCTGTGACCCCAAAGCTCTAACCCCAACCACAACCCTGTGACCCCAACCCCATGACCCCAAAGCCCTAACCATAACCCCATGACCCTGACCCCAACCCTAACTGTAAACCTGACCCCAACCCTGACCCCAAAACTCTAACCCCAACCACGACCCTGTGACCCCAACCCTGACCCCAACCCTAACTGTAAACCTGATCCCAACCCTGACCCCAAAGCCCTAACCATAACCCCACGACCCTGACCCCAACCCTAACTGTAAACCTGACCCCAAAACTCTAACCATAACCATAACCCTGTGACGCCAACCCTAACTGTGAACCTGACCCCAGCCCTGACCCCAAAACTCTAACCCCAACCACAACCCTGTGACCCCAACCCTGACCCCAACCCTAACTGTGAACCTGACCCCAACCCTGTGACCCCAAAGCTCTAACCCCAACCACAACCCTGTGACCCCAACTCCATGACCCCAAAGCCCTAACCATAACCCCATGACCCCAACCCCAACCCTAACTGTAAACCTGACCCCAACCCTGTGACCCCAAAGCTCTAACCCCAACCACAACCCTGTGACCCCAACCCTGACCCCAACCCTAACCATAACCCCATGACCCCAACCCTAACCCTAACTGTAAACCTGACCCCAAAACTCTAACCCCAATCACAACCCTGTGAGCCCAACCCCATGACCCCAACCCTAACTGTAAACCTGACCCCAACCCTGACCCCAAAACTCTAACCCCAACCCTATTGTGATAGGGTTGGGTTGTGATAGACCCCAACCCTATTATCCCTGTGACCCCAACCCTGACCCCAACCCTAACTGTAAACCTGACCCCAACCCTGTGACCCCAAAGCTCTAACCCCAACCTTAACCCTGTGACCCCAACCCTAACTGTAAACCTGATCCCAACCCTGACCCCAAAGCTCTAACCATAACCCCATGACCCTGACCCCAACCCTAACTGTAAACCTGACCCCAAAACTCTAACCATAACCATAACCCTGTGACCCCAACCCTGACCCCAAAGCCCTAACCATAACCCCATGAGCCTGACCCCAACCCTAACTGTAAACCTGACCCCAAAACTCTAACCCCAACCATAACCCTGTGACTCTAACCTTAAACCTAATCCAGCGTTAACGCTGTGACCCCAACCCTGACCCCAATCCCAACTCTAACCCTGACCACAACCCTGTGACCCTGACTCTGACCCCAACCCTAACCCTAATCCCAACCTTAACCCTGTCACCCCAAACCTAGCTGTAAGCCTGACCCCAACCCTGACCCCAAAACTCTAACCATAACCCTGTGATCCTAACTCTGACCCTCACCCCAATCCTAACCCTAAGCATAATCCCAACCTTAACCCTGTGACCCCAACCCTGACCCCAATCCCACTCTAACCCTAACCACAACCCTGTGACCCCAAGCCTGCCCCCCAAATTCTAACCATAACCCTGCGACCCTGAGCATAATCCCAACCTTAACCCTGTGACCCCAACCCCAAACCCAACTGTAAACCTGACCCCAATCCTGACCCCAAGCCCTAACCATAACCCTGTGATCCTAACTCTGACCCTCACCCCAATCCTAACCCTAAACCTCATCCCAACCTTAACCCTAACAGTGACCCCAACTCTAACTGTAACCCTAACCACAACCCTGTGACCCTGACTCTGACCCTAAGCCTAATTCAAACCTTAGCCCTAACCGTGACCCCAACCCTGACCCCAATCCCACTCTAACCCTAACCACAATTCTGTGACCCCAATCCTGACACCAAAACCCTAACCACAACCCTGTGACCCCAACCCTAATTGTAAACCCGATCCCAACCCTGACCCCAAAACTCTAATCACAACCCTGTGACCCTGACTCTGACCCCAACCCTAACCCTAATCCCAACCTTAGCCCTGTCACCCCAATCCTGACCCCAAAGCCCTAACCACAGCCCTGTGACCCTGACTCTGACCCTAACCCTAATCCCAAACTTAACCCTAACTGTGACCCCAACCCTGACCCCAATCCCAACTCTAACCCTAACCACAACCCTGTGACCCCAACCCTGACCCCTAAATTCTAACCATAACCCTGGGACCCTGGTTCTGACCCCAACCCTAACCCTAATCCCAACCTTAACTCTGTCACCCCAACCCTGACCCCAAAGCTCCAACCATAACTCTGTGACCCTGACTCTGACCCCAACCCTAACCCCAATCCCAACCTTAACCCTGTCACCCCAAACCTAACTGTAAACCTGACCCCAGCCTGACCCCAAAACTCTAACCGTAACCCTGTGACCCTAACCTTAAAGCTAATCCAACCTTAACCCTGTGACCCCAACCCTAACTGTAAACCCGATCCCAACCCTGACCCCAAAGCCCCAACCACAACCCTGTGACCCTGACTCTGACCCTAAGCCTAATCCCAACCTTAACCCTGTGACCCTGACTCTGACCCTAAACCTAATTCCAACCTTAACCCTGTCACCCCAACCCTAACTGTAAACCTAACCCCAACCCTGACCCCAAAGCCCCAACCACAACCCTGTGACCCTGACTCTGACCCCAACCCTAACCCTAATCCCAACCCTGACTATGACCCTAAACCTCATCCCAACCTTAACCCTAACAGTGACCCCAACCCTGACTGTAACCCTGACCCCAAACCAAGCCGTCCCTGCAGCCACGAGCTGGGCTGGGTGGCTTCCCTGTTCTCCAGCCGTGGAGCAGCACAGGGTCCTTTTGCTGCCCTCGCTCCCTTCTCAGCTCTGCAGCACCGCAAGCTGCAGCTTAGTGGGAAACACTGGTGGCGGTTGGGCCCCGGAGGGCTGTTCTGAGCGTGGAGATGCGGCTGTAACCCCTGTGCTCCTCCCCAAGGCTTCGACGGCGCCGTGCACGTCTACGACACGCGCAGCTGGGATGGCAGCGGGGCCGAAGCGCAGCCCCTCTTTGTGCACCGAGGCCACGCGTTTGGGGGGCGCCCCTCGGTGACGGCGCACGCGTGGCACCCCCAGAAACCCAGAACCCTGCTGTCGGCGGCCACCGACGGCTCCTTGCACATCTGGGATTGGGTTCAGCCTCCGGGGAGCTGAGGGCGGCTGCCGCTTTGGGGTTTTCCTGCCTGCGCTCGCAGGCGGCCCAAGGCCCGGAGGTGGTGACGGGAGCTGTGGGACGGGAATTCCTTGGGCCAGTTCCTTGGCGATGCTCTGCGCTCCCGTGTCTCGTTGGGATGTTGAGTTCCGACCGCCTTGTTTTGCTCTGTTCTCTTGTTCCCCCCTCCCAGCCGTCGTTCCGTCGCGTTCCGTCGGCCTCGCGAGGCTGGGAGGGGAAAAAAAAGCAATTAAACAACCCCAAAAAACAACGAAGCGGCAAAGTACAATGCGAGGAAACGGGCTGTCCTGCGGCATCCTGAACCCCCTGCCTTCCTGGCCGTGTTGCTGTTCCATCCCATGTGTGTGTGGAGCAGGAAGCCGCGGCGGAGGCAGCGTGCAGAGGAGCAGCCCTTCCTGCTGTCAGCTTCGCCCTCCTCTCCCCTCTGAGCAGCAGCACCCAGCTGGGAGGAGGCCTGGCTGCGTTGTGTGGGGCTGCTGGCTGCAGCTTCAACTCGAAATGCCATTTCCTGGGGCTGGAGGAGGAGCAGCAGCAGCAGCAGCAGCAGCTCGGATCTCGCGGTGCAAAGGGGTGCGAAGGGATTCGAGCGTTCCGCTGT